AACTAATTAATTTGTAGATTGATTATATTTATAACCAACAAAGTTTGTGTGTATGTAGCATTGAAGAAACGCGTAAAAATACAGAATATAAAGTAATACTACATCTTTCATCATATTGTATCTCCAATTTCATATGATGTTCACGTAAACAAAAACAATCGACTTTATTAAAACTGTATAAGCTACTATACTGCTTTACACATTATTCATACGGATCCTTACTTCAACATACTTATAGATTCATATCAAACTTGATGATAGAAAAGAAAATTAGATAGAATTCACTTAGTCAGAAAGAAGAAAAACAAACGATGCTCATTAGTGAATTCTGTTGAATAATTTTAACTCAACATATTTGGCTAAAACTTTTGTTATGATATTCAAGAGTATTAAAGTGCCTTTAGAATTTAATTAAAGTAGAATTTAATTACTTAACAATGATCTGAGCATACACATTTAATTTAACTAATTTGTATTTAATCTAAAGTTTTACCTCATTTCCGAACAAATGTGTTTTATTGATTATGCGCTTGAAGAAAATTTGAAGCTGTCTTTTCAGAAATAAAGAAATGAGCATTCCTAAGTTTATGATGAATCACAGATTACAGTTGTTGACTAAAATGACAACAAAACTTCCACTTAAAATGAAGCCAAATTAAAAAAGCTCAATATCTAAGATTTCATCGTTATATACATATATGCATAAAAAAAAAGAACATTTAATTTCATTTGTTTTCTTTGACTTCTGAATTGATATCAACCTATTTCCAGTGATTCACCAAGGTGGTTGTAGCAGGAGAGTATAGGATGGGAATGATGACAGTTTCTTATTTCAACAACAACAGTGAAACTGGTTAACGTGTACTATACTGATAGCCTTGAGTAAATCAATAACAATTAAGTGCAACTTAGAAGTCTGCGCGAAATTAAGAGAGCGGTGCAAGATAGCTTATATGGTTAAGGGCATTATGATGTGCGGTGTCCGATATCTGATACTAGTGCACGAAGTGCTACGCTCTGACCCACAAAGTGAATACTTGGGAGATAAGACAAGAGTAGAAGAGTAAGTCTATCGGACTACCGAATAATAAGCATAAATACTCATTAATGTATACGTTTTTATCCCTTAGCCAGTGATATGCATTTGACATTCAGGGTCATTTTTCGTTATCAAATGGCCTTTTCATTTGGCTACTTCTGATTGATTCACAATATTAAAGGATATTTGTGTGACTAGATAGTAGTTGCCCAACATAAATAAACATAAGTAAACAAAATAGTTTATGTCAGATCGTGATGCAAACCCTAACCCTAATACGTGATCCTGATGCATAACTCTAATTTAACTTTTATTAACCGACCTAAACATTTATGTATTATTACTTACGCATAACTTAATCTAGAACCCTTCTAGAGCTAAAGCTAGGATAAAAGAGGAAGGCTGTATATAGGATTAGCAACCCCACCCTGCAGAAAACAACCTTGTTAAAAATCGCAAAGATGCAAAAACCATTTAAACTCTGTCCTGGGAGTTGAATGATCTTCATTTAGAAGAGTTGTGAAGCCTCATAGAGAAAGTCGAGATTCTTTGAGTTACGAGGCCGACGTCCGTTCTGACAACTGGAGCAATAATTAACATAGATATATTGAATGGCTGTACAATGCGAGAGCCCGAAAGGGCCATTCAGGCACTGAAGTCACACATAGAAGTAACTGCAAAAATTATCCACATTACATTCAGAAAGGTTTCGAAGGAAAAAACAAGTATCAACAGACTACTAGAAAGAATACCTCATCGAAACATTAAAGAAAGGAGATACTAGTACGTGTGAAGGCTAAAGAACCATCACGCTACTTTAAGGGAAAGAGGCGACCTATGCTATGCGAGGACTAATAGATGTATCTTGCGTAGACAATTGTTTATAAAAACCTGTGTACTTCTGATGATGGTTGTAGAGTGATTCATTAAATTTCAGCTCCGTACAGTAGAAATATCTTGGGGTTTGTATTGAAAATCCTGATTTAGGTGTTGGTTGACAATTGTTTTGAGTTCCATATGCTCTTCAATTGTGGGCCTTGCTTTGCCAAACTTTGCCTTTCTATCTATATCAGGTCCTCCTTGTTTATTGATGCTGCCCTAGTACGTATGTTTTTATAACTTTCAGTGTTATAACGGAACAGATATTGTAAAAAAAAACTGTTCTTTTCGAATTATCATTTATTATAAGTCTGCACATGGTTATATATATATATATATATATATATATATATATATATATATATATATATATAATTCCATTAGTACAATAATTAAAGGAATTGTAGTCATGAAGTAAAACGCACAAACACACCGACCAGCATTGAGTGTCTTATCTAAATGAATAATAAAATATGGATTACAGTCACACTAATATGATAGGATAGTAATGTCCTTCAATTAGCAGGTCACATGCAACAGGGATAGACAAGACCCACTAGACAAGGTTGATGTGGTGGGCATTCAAGAAGCGATTTGATCGGTTAGTTGTGAACATTAATAATAATAATAATAATAATAATAATAATAATAATAATATTATTATTATTATTATTATTATTATTATTATATACCCTTTACCAGAAGCTTTTGTTTGGTACATTAACTTCTAGTATACGATTTACTACTCCTAAATTGTTGTCACTTTGTTATTTAGTCTCCCCTATCAACAGAATCGTTCGGCTCATTCATGTATATTTTTTCATTATTTTATGTTGTGGTGTGGTCTGATATGCCTGTGTATAAACTACGTCTTCTTGAAATACAACATTCGTTCATTCATTGAGGCTAGTGACTGACTTCTGGACTGAATACCAAGGTAGAGGAAGAAGTTACGGAATCGTGGGCCAATAAGCACTTAGCAGTTTCTCAAAGTTACTAGTGCTGACCGGAAATGTAATTGGCCAACTCAAGGACAATAATTCATGGAAACCAAGATTCTGATTGGTGGCTTAGTTATGTGATATTAATGAGAGGCCATATGGTATAACAAAGAGCTCCATCAAGTGTGACTGGGTTAGTGCCTCTGTGTTGTATTTCGGGATCTTGTTTTCTCGCTTGTTTATCATGAGGCCTACTGCTGTAGAGCTGTTGCTACACTGGCTATAATCCCTTGCATTTGTCGCTGTGAATGGGTTAGAAGAGATAGGTCATCTGTAGTCCAAAGTGTCTGGTCGCATCCAATATGTCCTTTGTGTCCCGTGCTTTCCCTGAGATGCAGAGATCTTCATAATCGAATTGACCACCAGAAGAAAGAGTGAAGGCAAGAGTAAGCAGATTCGTCTGACACTAGTCCTTAATTGGAATGAGTCTGTGGTGGCTGTGCTTCGATAACTAATCACCCTCGAACCGTTATCGTACAATCTTCAACGGTGTTTGAAATCAGAAGGTAAAAAGAAGCAGCTGCTACAGTTTACTTATCAGATAATTCGGACCATACAGCAGAGGCAAAACGAACGAGTAAGCGAACTACGGTTGTAGCAGTAGCAGTAGCAGTAGTAGTGTAAATGTACATATATATATATATATATATATATATATATATATATATATATATGAGTTGGATGAGTCATCGAATAGATTAAGCAGCTAATAATGAAGCTAGCAGAATGAATATATGCGTATGCGCTAAACAATGCTCAAGCATACGTATTTCATACAAGCACAATAATAATACAAATACAACAAGTTATTATAGCATGGATGACTTTGTCCATTAAATAGGTTAACAAAAGACCTTGACTGAGCTAAATGAGAATAAACCCAATTGCACGTGAGTCGCTATAAGTCTGTCAGGTGTCTTCCATGCACGACTTAACAGTGTATTCCCTCGTATGATGGTAACAACCTTCGCAGGTATACCGTATTGTCGAAGAAGGTTCCGTAAGGTTCTCCTATCCATGCTGTCAAACGTTTTATCATATTCATGGGAGTTGATGTATAGTGACGAGTTCCATTCAAGTGATTGTTCAACGATGATCCATAGTGTTGCGATTTGGTTGGTTCACAATCGATCCTTACTGAATCCAGATAATTGATCTTGAAGTTGGGCGTCTACCGAATCTTTTATTCAGTTCAATTGGTGACGAAAATCCTATAGGAGTATAATCATATTTCACATCGCTAATCGAACTTACAATAAGTAAAGTTGACTTTTTTCTCTTACCATAGTGGATAATTTAACATTTATGGGTTAATTAGTCATATCAAACCCATTGAACCGTTGTAATTTTACTGTTTTTTCACTGTTAATTATTTCATGCCTAAGCGGTGGTACTTGACTATCCAACAAGTCTCTTACGGTCGCCAATACAGTACACTTTTTGCATAAAAAATTAAGAGCTTCAAAGAAAACCAGTAAACATTTGCTCACATGAAATGAGTGAGCGAATCGAATTGATGATGGATTCAACTATTACTCATGGGCTTAATTACAAATTAGCCATGAGTTTGAAAACTTTTTCTCATAACTCGTTTCTACGTATCACACTAAGTAATAATGACCTAATGAAGTTGTGTGTAGAATATAATGTTTGTATAAAATATTAGTGTACAGTGAGCGACTTTATGGCCAGTAATTTTCAACTGAGGTATTTTTGAATTGTTTGTAGTATTCAATTTCATGGCATCCAAAGGAGTTTCTGTGGCGAGGCTACCTTCTAGCTGATCGTTTACTTTTCCAATTAAGATTTAGGAATTATGCTAGTGGAGTAAAAATCGTTATCGTATATGCTGAGAATTTAATACCGATAGTTCATCTTTAGTCTTTCAAAAAGTACACTTGGATTGGACATATTGTACATGGTTCATCACGAAGTAACTATGGCTATACAGTCATGGTGAATTATATAAATGTTCATAAACCAAATGAGTATTCAATGATTGACTTGAAACTTACAAAATATAATGAATATATGTAAGTTTACTTTAGTAATAAATATGGTATACAGTTAAGATAACTTACAAACAATAAGGTAAATGATGAAGCAGTCTACAAGTGGCACCTGGTTTACCAAGATTCATGCTATAGTATAATAACTTTCCGTAGACTGCAGTTACTAATTCGGCAATTCGATATATTCTTTGAATACCGAGCCATGGATCCGGAATCTGTAAAATTATAATAGAGATATTTCGATTTTAATGTGCGTACATAACACACAACTTTAATTAATATCTCATTATTAGTAATGACTAGAAGATAAAGACGAATATGGTTGGAAAACAAATAAGTAATGTGTCCCAAGAGTTCATTTTCTGTTGTGTAAAAAGCTTATAAAAAACCTCATCACATAATATCGACAACCTTTTGATCAGTAACTGTGTATTTTGTCTATTCATTTGATTACGTCCGTCAGCTAGCCCTAAACAATCTAAGGTATGGCGCAAATATGTGCCACACTTATCATTGGCACAACAAGAGGATAGTATTAGAATGCAAACTAAAGGAGTCAAATTAATAGTGGTAATGGTAGTAAAAACGACAAAAATAAGGCTCGAAAATCAGATAATGTTAAACCCAACACTTAATGGGAAATAAATAAATAATACAAGTGGGGGACATTGAAACTGATTTTCAGCCATATCTTCAACCAGAGATTACAACTGCTACGCAAATCAGTACCAGGAAGCCTTCATCTTCATACAGTTCAGTTCATCAGTCAATAACTTTGCGAACTGAAAACATGTCTTGGAGTGAAGTTCTATACATTTTTCCCAATCTACTATTTTAGCCACATATATATCAGTGTAAGCGAGGGGCAAAAAACATGAAATATGATTTATTTGTCTCAGTTGGCAAAATTGGCTGTTCTAAAATCTATCGAAAGGTAAATATCCAACCGACAAATTCTCAATCAACCTGTGATAACGTTCTATTTCCTTTAGTTAATCTTATGAAGAATCATTCAGTCACTCAGTAACAACGTAGAACTTTGTACGCACGTACATCAGTTCGAGTTGCCACACCATATTAGCTCAGAGATGCAGTGGTCGATTCAAATCCCATAGTGCTAGATGTAGTAAGGTTATAAGCTGTAATCAGAAAAATTAAGGTTTGAAGATGTTATTCAAGGACTATAATCCAGTGAAATAAATCTGGGAAGAGAAAAAAGAGAGGGACATGAAGAAATCAGACGATCAGAATTTGGAAGAACACAAAGAGTGGATGCACCTGCGCCATTGCAAACGATTTTGAGCCATGTCATTCAGGGTCTCTAACCATCGGTTGCTATCATCTCGCGGTCCCCAACCAGGTAGTCTACACCTACCAACATGACTCAATCTACTTGTCAGTGACTTCATGGACCTGTGCCATGTTTTGGTCCGGCCTACCCTAGCTTTCTTCCAATCTACTCCTACACCACTGAACATCACTCGTCTAGGCAGTCGGTGGTCGGACATGCGTAACACGTGTCCCAGCCATCTCAACTGATGAAGTTTCATCACTTCATCAATGGATTTGCCATCCTTACCTAGTACCCTTTCCCTAACAACTACATTACTTACTCGGCGGTCCCAGGATATACGAGCAATGTTTCGAAGACACCTATGATCCAATACTAGTAGCTTATGAATATCCTCTACTCTTGCCGGCCATGTTTCACTGCCATAAAGTAGGACGGAACGAACTGCTGCACAGTAAACACGTCCTTTGGTTGATAGACGGATATCTCGCCTACGCCATAAATGACGCAAGTTGGTAAAAGCTAGTCGAGCCTTCTGTATTCGTGCTGAGATTTCGTCACACACCAGACCACAAGGGCTGATAAGACTTCCAAGATAAGTGAAGCGGTCGACACACTCAACTACTTCACTCACTATCATTAGTTCAGCTGTCGAGGCAACTCAATCCTGAAACAACATTTTGCATTTCGAGGTAGAGAATCGCATCCCGAACATGCTTGCATTGTTGCTTAGAGTGGTCAGAAGACTCTGCATTTTGTCAGCGTCTTCACCAAATAAAACTATGTCATCTGCATATTCTACGTCAACAAGTGAACCTCCTGGTAGAAGTTCAACCCCTGGAAATCTAGACGAGGAAAGTGTTACCTCTGAAAGTACGTCCACGACAAAGTTGAACAAGAATGGAGAGAGTGGACAGCCCTGACCAACATCACTTGAGGTAATCAATTCTGATGACAGTTCGCCATAAGCTCTCACTCGACCAGTTGTGTTCGAGTAGAGAGCCTTTATAAGGTTAATGTACTTCTTTGGTACTCCTTTCAGTGACAAACACTGCCATAGAACCTCACGATCAACAGAGTCGAATGCCGCCTTAAGTCCGAGAAATACTACCATTGTGGGGCGTCTGAACGTGTGTCTGTGTTCTAGAACCTGACGCAGTGTGAATATCTGATCTATACAACGACGTCCAGGTCGAAAACCAGCCTGATTTTCTCTAGTCTGCTCTTCACGAGCTTTAGTTAGGCGTCGAAGTATTATTGAAGCTAATATTTTAGACACTATATTTGTCAAACTGATTCCTCTGTTATTGTCACAAGAGGACTTTTGTCCTTTCTTATAGACTGACACAATCAGTGATTGAGACCAGTCAGATGGGATTACGTCCAGTTCCCAAATTCTACCTAAGACCTCAGTTAATCTCGCTGCTAATACTGGACCACCATCCTTTAAAATCTCAGGAGTAAACCTGTCAGGGCCTGCTGCTCTCCCTCGTTTCAGATTTCCTATGGCTTTTTCAACTTCGTAAACGGACGGAGGACCTACATTAACTTGCCATTCAGGTTGACTAGAGATCGTAGGAAACCGAAGTGTGCTGAAGGCCAGTTGAACTGATCCCTAAAGTGTTCTACCCATCGATCCACTCTCCTGGATTGAGAATGTATAATATGTCCATCTTTCTCTGAGAGTGTTTCGCTAACAGTCGGTTTCCTAATACCGGTTTCCTTAACAAGTCTGAACAATTGTCTGCTATTACCTATTGCCGCTGCCTTTTCCATCTCTCTTGCTTTCGCTACCCACCACTGTTCGCGATCATTGCGTAGACTTCTCAGCTTGCGCTTAAGCTGACTCCGCTCCTCATTATGTTCAGAGCCAGGTGTAATGAGTTTCCGAGCATCTATCAGTGTGATAGATGCTGCTCAGATCCACTGTTGCTCACTGACTTTACGGGTTACCGTACTAGCAGATATCATTGCTGTTTCCACAGCTTTTCGGATATCATTCCATACTGCCTCGGGGTGGGCATCACATACATGGCTGCCTGACTGTTTTCCTAGTTGTTCCTGAAATATACTCTTAGCTTGACTATCATTAAGTAGGGCCCTAAGAGGTTTACTTGCAGCGTCTTTCCTACGTCCAGTAAGACGCAGACAGATACGCGCTCGCACTAGAGCATGATCTGAATCTAAGCATGTGCTCCAGAATGAGCGATAGTCTTCTATCGAGCCCCTCCATCGGTGGCTGATAGCGATGTGATCTATTTGAGTCCAACGTTGGGACGAATTAGGCGGTCGCCATGTTAAAAGATGTTTTCCTTATGCTTAAAGTTAGTATTTGCAAGAAACAGGCAGTTATCTGAGCATAGCTGCAACAGACGGTCGCCATTATCTGTTCTTTGAGCCACTATGCTATAAGATCCACCCAGGTGTCTTTCCCTATCGCTTAGTTTACCTACTTGAGCATTAACGTCACCTGCCACTATTACTACATCCGAGCGCCTAGCTTTTCGGAGAAGGTCGGAGAGCTTTCTGTAAAACTCATCTTTTACATCATCTGAGCTGCAGTCAGTGGGAGAATAGGCAGAGACAACGAAGAGGCAACGACGAGTGTCCCTATCTTTCCGGATCCTTACTGTTCCGTTCAGTCGGACAGCGCACAAACGACTGTCTAATGGGATCCACTCTAAGAGAGCTAGTTCTGCCTTAGAACTCAATACTGTACCTACGCCGGCGAGGCCACGGGAAGCAGAATCAGGGCTTCCAGATACACGAAGTGTGAATCGAGTCGGTTCTTTATTTTGGCATAGTGAGGTCAAATGAATGACGCTACTCGGATCCTGTATGCGCGTTTCGGAGACGCAGCACACATCGATGGCGCGGGATTCTAAAGTCCTAGCTAAGGAAGCCTGCTGTCCTACTTGGCACAGTGTTCGGACGTTAAAAGCTCCTACGTGTAGTTTAGAGCGTGGTTTCAGGAGACCAGGAATAACGTTCCGCGTACTCCAATCGTTCGCCCTAGCGGTGCGGGGTGATAAAGAGACGTGAGGAGGGTTAGTCATGGGGATAAGAGAGGTATTAGGAGGTGTAGGAAGGATTTGAATGTGACCAACTTGGTCTCGTGTGCTGTTACGGGTATGAGGGCTGGTATCACTTCCAGGCTGCCCACACCGTGGAAGGGTATTTCTTGAGGAACCTGAAAAGGAAATTGGATTAGTGTTGGTCTTAACGACCTGGGAGCGCGACTGCAGAGCCCAGCGGACAACTGCTCGAGGCCGGTCGCGCACGGCCTTTTCGTGGGAGGTTTTTAATGTGTTAGCTCCGTTCTTCAAAAGGCTTTACCGCCGGAGACGGGAATCCGTGAGGTAAGGTGAGGTGTGACATTGTTAGGGTCGACCTTTTCTAACCCCACTCCTCCTTGTGGGAAGTCTTATTGAGTATTCAATTATCCATTTCGACATATCACAGGCTTCAAACTTTGTTTCGTTAGCATTTCTTTGGACAAAAAGTGAGTATAGGACAAAACGTTCGATTTTAACTTTTATCAACTATTATCAGTCGGTTGAGATTACTGTTGACTTTTATTCTGTTAAAATCATTGTATGATGGTTAGGTTTAAACGTATTGTATAAATTAGGGGCTGATTATTTAATTTAAGGATAGACAAGCACTCTCCAATTCATTGCTGAGCTACCTTATTATAATGCTATTGATTTGGATTGGATTGTTCAGTAGAACATTACGTTATTTAAGTTAATCATTCTGTGATAACAATATTATTTTGTCCCCTTCATTCAATACATTAAATGATAAGTTACGATCATTCATTTTTACAGCTATTTAATTTAACATATGCTATGCTGAGGAACCCTCTACTAGGATGAAACAGTTGCCCTGTGTTCCTTGTTTCTCACTGATTGTTTGGTTAAGGTCAGTCCATGATCCAAACGAACTTTAAATTGGATAGCTTCACCATCTTCACTTCTAATTGAGTACAATTCTTTAACATAATTTACAAAACCTATTCTAGGTTGTTTGCTCTTTCCGCGTCGAAAATTTCTATTTACTGACAGAGGAATTATGGAAATTATTAATAAGTTTGTATTGGAGTGAGATTAGTCAATTTGCAAAGATGTGTTGGTACACAAATAAAACGGTGTTTTGGAATTTATAATTCAATCATGACGAACACAAACAAACTTGAGGTTTAAACTAACGAGGGTAGTTAAAGCATAAATAAGTAATATTTATAATAAAAAGTGCTGTTATAGAGAATTATTCAATAAATAATAAACTAGAAACCTGTAGTAGTTCTTAGAATATAACCATTTAAATGATTAAAAACCACAAAGGTAATAACTTAATCAATCAGGTTACAACTTATTGTTCATAACCCACTTTTACAACATTTTAAATCTTATGTATATGTTGATGATTTATTGACTTTAACACTACCTTAGTCAGCTTCAGTGTTAACGGAAATCGGATGTATGATATTAAATCAACACTACTTCAAAAAAACCAATTTAATGATCCTGTTGAGAATATCAATCAAATTACTTGTTTTGAAGATCGCTACAACTAGTAGCTCTTAAAGTATGCTAAACTCTCAGTTACCGATCCGCTCCTATTTTATTAATCACGACTAAATTCAGTTCCTATACCTTAATTTCGGAATGTTTACGGTGAAACAAAGGAAGCTATATGAAAAGTAACTCCGAGACATGAACAGCTCAAGAACTTGTACACGTAGCTAATAAATTGATTAGAGGAATAACAAATACCACGCCAGGAATTCTTGTTAACTAATGAGTAGTATGTAACGAATTCTATTTATGGTTTGCTGGTGAGGCATATGAAATCACTTTTATTGCGATAGCAATAAAAACGGGGAGAATGGAAAAAAAAGCGGAATAGAACGAGATGATAAGAACTTATTTTTCAAAGAACTAATGTTCACCCAAAATACAGGTGTTATTTACAGTTTAAAACGACCCAATATAAACAGAAATGTGAAAAAAAGACTAGGGAGTTGTAAATCAAAAACTTAACCTTTTCATTAAAATATTATATGACATGTTAGCACAGACTACCGTAAACATAACTACTTATGGGTATGTGATACTTACCTGGTCACCTTTCACCAAGATATCAACGTTTAAATCCGAAGGAGAAGTATCTTGATATATTAAGCTTAAAGGAATACGATGACCGGTACCAACCCACTGTTTAGTTTGCCAACGTAGAAGAAAGAGGCCTGCGACTATATCACTTGCGACTAAGTCTACATCCTTTATGTGCAAGACATGGAAAAAAGATGAGATAAAAAATAAGGACGACATCAAACTTTCTGTTAACAAAAATCCAAAACTGTGTCATATGATCAAAAATAATTTTAAGAGTGAGTTTTAAGAAAATCATCCACACCGTCGACAGACAAACAGTGACATCGCCAGAAGTTGGATTGACTGACAACAAGAGGTTGTTACAAATTAAACCAGATATCAAAAGCGATAACATTAGGAAATATAAATATAAGTCGTAAAAGTGAATAGGGACTGTAAAATAAAAAATTATTAGTAAAACGACCAAAAATAAGATATAGATTAATCATGTAGTGAATTAAGTAGCCGTAATACTGATAATCTACCTTTCACCATCGTCAAAGAATTAAACATCATACACTAATTATCGTTTAAAAGTTTAGCTCAAAATTTTCTCAGAGGTGCTAATAATTTAACTAAAAGAGATTTGATTGATAAACACATTTATCATGGAGTGGTTAGTGGGGAATAACATCTCTATCACCATTCAAGAATTAAAGGAGATAGATAACTGAGAAATTTGTGTACTTGATCAGTGTAGTTAGAATATAATGTACGTGTAGGTTATATAATGAATCCAAATTTATTATTATTTTTTATTATTAATGGCTTTATTCAATATTATATTTTGGTACAATATAGAATTCTCAGCACAGTACGATGACTTGCGCCAAATTTATGCATCGAATCTGATTAGGAGATATAGAATATACAACTTAAAGCAATGTCTGTACACTCTAGTCTGCGAATAAACGGTATTTGAGAATATTTAGTTTACAACTACCCTTGTATTAACCCTGTCACTGTGAATGTGATCACTAATATTCGTCTGTATTTATGCCTTGAATAAGCTGATTGGACGAGAAAACGAGACGTCAAAAATCCATTATTTTCATTTCACCTGGATTTCTCAAACAATTATCATCTCAAGTATAAGTGCATCCTCGTATGAGGTTTTGGATTACTACCTGTTGTCTATATATAGCCTTTACGGATGGAGAACTAGAAGAGTACATTTAAATAGCATTTTGTCATAGACCCAACTAAAATTTTTCTTTTAGATGTGATTAGCAAAAACAAGTTGTGTTAAGAAAGCTCCTTTATGTAGTTTTATGAAGATTTTAAAAGCATCTGAACACAACCACCATACACCCCCATCTTAATTTCTACGTGTGCACGCATCATGCAAAACATGGGAAACAGTTATTATGTCGACAAGATTGCACTGATAGTCTATAACATAAAAAAGGAAATGTTCACAAATTTAAATGAACACATGATATACTTTGTATCAAAATGAGTCCTTTCAAATGTTCCGCTATTCATTTCTCAGGCATGAGAGATGAACAATGTCGATGGTTGAAGGACAATTAAGGAAATTGTCTAAAGTGACATGTTTTCGGTTCCTTGTCTTTTAGCGTGACCTGAGGCAACATGCAGTTACCTTCATAAACGAAAAAAGTCTGTCCTGACTAACTGTTATCCGGCTAGTAGTACAAAGTAATATTGAAATCCCATTAGTTTATTTTCAGTTTAACCGTCAAAAAATGGAAAGACAATTGGAAATGAATGATTATGAAGAAAAAAGAACTTAGAGAACTGTTTTCAATTACTTGATGAGTTTGAACTTGATATCCCAATCAAAGAGAAAACAGCGCATGTCACGAAGACAGATTGGTTAGCACTTGTTTATAGGATATTCCTGAACAGAAAGAGGTAAGTATACGAGCGTTCAAGTGTTATTTGATACACAACATACACTCTGGTTATTGATAGAAAATAACGAATGCCTAAAGAAACCACAACGTCACAATCTAAGCAAAGTCACTGTTTTTACATGAGAAATTACATGATGACACGATTCCCATGGAAAACTAAGAGCTCAAACCAGTTAAGACAGTTACGAAATACGAAGCTAGTAAATTTTTATTTACTTTGCAATATTATGGTCTTTATGTTGTGAGCTAGTAGAAGTATTTGCCTTAGAAAGTCGACGACAAATAGTTAGCTATGGGCAATAGTGGTGACAAAAACTAAAACTGCCTGATGAAACGAAAACAATACTTTATTTCTTTAAACTCTGCTAATGTCATTACTTCCCTGGTACAATAACAAGTAAATAACCTGAAACTCGTTGTCTCCAAATTTCAACACATGCGAGTTTCAAACCTACACGTATCAAATCCAGTGTAAAAACAGATATTCACGCAAAACAATCAATTTAAATAATATGTTGATTGAGGTGTTTTACTATCCAGTTGTGAGTGTAAGTTGCCTTTTCAGTTAAGCCAGAACTTACTTAGTTGAGAAGCAAAAATAACGTTAGAGAAATCAGTGTGTTGACTAATGTCTATGCTAATGGAAAAGTGAGGATTTAAAACTGAAGTTTAAAGGCATGTACGGACGTCAAATTGGGAGTATGTCTATTCATGGAGTGTTTCATCCGTTACTCTGATCGCATTCGAAAAATAGCGTTTCTAAGTTGAAAGTTCTTCATAAAGGACACTTTAATAATAATTTAGTTAGTGTTAAGCTAAACCTCCTGTTCCCAAGTCTAAATTCTAGTTAAAGTGAATTCTAATCGTATTTCAATGACTTGGCAACATGTGCTACATGCATACCTGTCAAAGACAGTACATCAAAATAGGCCTTGTCTTACATGCTGATTCCGAGTAAAAATGGTTGAGGCACAACTAACCAAGTTGGTAGAAGAAAAAATACGTGAGAACGCTTAGTAATGCAAAATGTCTTTTATCATTTTCGTATCACTATGGACAAAAAATTAGGTCCAAAACTTTATCCAGTACATGATGCCGTATCCCTGTCAGCCGTATCTAACGCTAATAATAGCAAGGGAATATACTTTAAAATTGGCCATGTTTTAGTCTGGTATATATGTACCCTTTTGACTATGGTATATAATTTTTAAAGCTTCTATTTTCTGTTCATAGTCGGTGAATTTTCTTGTTGTTAGTGAAAGAAGAAAACCATCTCAATCCCTCTTTTCAAACTAAACGTATAGAGATAGTATTGCTCAATCACTACATCTTCTTGAATCTTGTCATCAATTATATTTTGGAAACAAAACTGAGGAAAATGAGTGGAAACAGTGTAAATCTGTTACATGGTGTAATATTTTCCAACCTTCAGTATGCAGATCATATCGTCTTAATTACAAGATAGACAAATCTCAATCAGTTGAATAGTTTTGACAATTATGCTATGAGCCTTGGGCTGACGAAACGCAAAGGACTCGCTGTCATAGAAGTTTCAAGTGCCTTTCTATTATAGACAATTTTTTTACGACTGCTTAACTGTGGTCGACAACTGTGGAAACTGTAAACAGTTCGACGGTACGTTGTACGTCAGACTTTACCAAGCCCCAATATAACCCTATATTTTCCTGTTTATCACATATAAACAACATTTTAAGTATAGGTGTTAACCGTAATCAGAGAAACGACAACCCGTCGTTAAATTTTCACATTTCTATATGCATTTATATTAGCATAATTTTTCCAAAAAAATGCTTGTTTCTAGTTAGAAACTAGAAAAGACTCATCTGATTTAAGCCATATTTGAACCTGTAATTGGGTGTATTACGTATGGAAATACAAACAGAAACAGTACTTTGTCATAACACATCAACGTAGAGATAACATCTTTGTCATTTCATCTGCCAAAGACTCAAAACCATACATCAGATTTTAAAAAATGTGAGCAAATTTAAAAGTACACGAAATTCACAAGAACTCTGCACATACGTAAAATATATCTGAAAACAAAGCCGCTGCGGAAGTGATTATTGTTTTATCAGTTTGCATTGTCGACCGATCAGTTTTACAAAAAGGTAAGCGACGAAAGGCCCGTAAACATTCCAACTTCCGTTGAACAGCCTTTCTTCGCTTAAGCATCACTAACTGCTTCGTGGAAAGATTAACATTTGGATTCAGACAACCCTGCTTGAATACAGTAGGGTCGTTAGTCAATCGGCTCCAAAAGGCACCAGCCTTACGATAGTGTAACATTAGAAAAAAGTAGAAACCAATCACATGAGCTACCGCAATGGCGTTCCCTGCTATATAGCAATCAACAACCTGAAATTAGATGTATGAGTAAAAATATTTCGAAAGTTTACAAACAATTAAATAAACGGAATTTCTTTGCAATATAGTAGGAGTAGAATACCAAGGATTACTTTTCCTATCAATATGGACAAGTTAAATCCATACTACTTTAAAAAAACAGAAGCAAAATTCATATATCTAAATTTCCTCATGCAATTACATTTAAAACCCTCCGAAAACGACCGTTACTTAACACAATATATGTTTACATCGTTGTAATGTTTTATCAACCTGGCTATCTAAATTACGATAATGCAAAAATCGAGGATCACAAAGTGGAAGGTCCTCTAAATCTGAGTACACAGTGACAAAATAAGATAGTTAAGGGAAATGTATAAAGCTTAAACTGGAAAGCCCATCAAGCACGTATAGAGTTTTCATTATGTATCCCACGCTAGTTAGTTTTTTTTTATAAAGAATTACCTCTCAATGGTTGTCTGAGAGTTGAATGTTAGTGAGAACTCTTGGTTTCTACACTATCTATGCACTAAGTCAAAGAAAATGTGAACTAAATGTGATAATAAGGTAAGATATAGTTTTTAAGCTCCGGAATTGATTGTATACAAACATTATGTTACGATAAGGATGGAGGACTTTTTATTGAAAAGTCACACCAGTTAAATAGATATATTTCCTCTCACTTTTAAAGGTTTTTACAAGTAATAACAATAGACACTAAGACAGTATTTTGGGACGAAAATAGGAAAATAGTTAACGTTAACTTACCTAACAATCTAATCTACCTGTAATTTATTTTTGAATACTGCCCTAAACGATTTGAAGAGGAAAGCTAAACGAGATATATGGGTTAAAATTAAAGGGATTCAAGGACTTAAAACCCATGATAATACAGTTGAATCAATCTTATGATGAGACATCTTGATAACCAAACTTATTTCCCAAATGCCCTGGTATGGCTGAGAACGGGATGGGCCCACCACCCCTCACGAAATGTTCTCACACGGCCACGCGTATACAGCCTCTGCAAGGGAAGTCCTACTCACTACCTTCTCGTGGCGGGAATGTTGTTTACGAAAATGAGAGGACGAAAGGCGAATGTTCGGCGATTCAACCGGATCCCAAATCAATGGTGCACATGGGTTCCAGTATCCTGAGGGAACAAATGGCGTATGAACCAATCGTTGGTCACCGGCTACCATGGGACTGCATCTCCTCACGATGCCCCACTGCCTTGCAGGTTAGACCTTTAGGTCGAAGGCTTCGAGTGTGGCCTCCTAAGATAATCACCTGCCCCCTGAATGCCCTGGTACGGCCGAGAGTGGGGAGAGTCCGCTCTCCCTCTCGAAATACTCTCACACGGCCACGCGTATATAGCCTCTGCCAGGGAAGTCCTACTCATTGCCTTCTCGTGGCGGGGGTGTTGTTTACGAAAATGAGAGGACGAGAAGCGAATGTCCGGCGCTTTAACCGGATTCCAAACCAATGGTGCACATGGGCTCCAGTATCCTGCGGGAACGAATGGCGTATGAACCAATCGTTGGTCACCGGCTACCATGGGACTGCATCTCCTTACGATGCTCCACTGCCTTGTGGGTTAGACCTTTAGGTCAAAGGCTCGGGGAGTGGCCCCCTAAGATAACCACCTGCTTCGGTTTGGGCACCCGGGCAGTATCACAGCCCACACACAAATGATGAACTGTTTATGTCTATGGAAACTACTTTTGTCGCTTTGAAAAACAATCAATTGATTCAAATTATGATCACTTCAATTATTGTCATTATTAATACTAATATTATTATTACTACTATTATTGTCATTATTGTTATTATTATCATTATTATTATTATTTTCCACATTATTCACCTTCTTTTATACTTATACAGCGGCTCGTCTTTGGTGGAATTCCGACTGTATCTAAACGTTCTCGAGTCACTGTCCGGTTGAAAATTGTATGTTACCACCGAATACGAGGACTGAAGCAGATTTTCTGAAACCACGTGCATCATTCAAACTGGCTGCCTTCAACGTTCGCACATTTATGCAGGTCGGACAACAGATAGGGCTGGCTATGTCTTTGGAAAGTCTTAATATCGACGTGTGTTGTCTATCCGAGACCCGTATTCAAGACTCTGGCGAAGTACTACAAATTCGATCTCCATCTGTCGCTTCGAAAAGCTTGTTTTACGTGCGCTTATCCGGGGACCCTGTGGCATCTTCGTCTGGTTTTGCTGGCGTTGGTGTCGCACTAAGCGCTAGAGCTGAGGCAGCACTAGTCGATTGGATCCCCATTAACAGTCGGTTATGTGCTGTTAGATTAGAAAGTTCCACCAAAGTGAGAAGAAATCGGCGTGAGAAACGATGTCTTTTCGTCATCTCCGCCTATGCCCCGACAGATTGCAGCCCGGATGCAATCAAGGATGAGTTTTACCACCAGTTATCAGTTCTTCTCCAGAAAGTGCGTTCGACAGATATTGTAGTACTAGCCGGAGACTTGAATGCTCAGGTCGGGCGTCTAGGCACAGAAGAGAGTCGTTTAGGTGGCCGATGGGGACTCGTTGGTCGCAGGTCAGATAACGGGGACCGTCTACTGCAACTTTGCGCAGACCACAACCTGTTTCTGGCTAGCACTAACTTTCGGCACAGTCATCGCCGATGTGCCACCTGGCGTCCTCCCTCTGCATCTCAAGCCTGGACTCAGATTGATCACATCGCGATCAGCTACCGCTGGCGTGGTTGTGTACAAGACTGCCGCTCCTTTTGGAGTACCTATCTGGACTCTGACCACGCCTTGGTCTGCGCCAATCTTGCCTTACTTTTCAGTGGACAACGAAGTGAACGCCATCAACGGATTGATGTTAGCAAGCTGGTTGCAACTTCTGTTGCAAGTAAGTATCGAACCGAGCTAGCCTCTAGGCTAGCTACCACTCCACCGAAAAGTATAGATGAGCATTGGTTGCAATTGCATGACGCCATGAAAATGGCGGGTACAGTCAGTTGTGGGTTTGCGAAACGTCCCGCTTTTAAGCACTGGGTTTCTTCTGGTTCCTTACAACTCATTGAAGCCCGTCGGTCTACTCCGGGTAACCGTGAGTTTGACCATAAACGAAGGTTTTTACGTAAGGAAATCGGGCAAAGCTTGCGTAAGGACCGAGAAGCCTGGTGGTCGATGCGTGCTAATGAGCTGGAAGCAGCAGCTGCATCTGGTAACTACCGGAAGCTCTTCCAACTCATCCGAGCCACTGGCAGCAAGAAGTCTGGTGTGAGTGAAACAATCTGCGAGGATGATGGGATGCCAATCACTAACATCCATCGACGTCTTGGACGATGGGCAGAATTTTTCGAAGGGCAGTTCAACTGGCCTGCTGCTCCGGTAACATCGGTCAGACTGTCCTGCCCTCCATGGCCGGTGACGACTGATCCACCAAATGAGGAGGAAGTCCGCAAGGAACTCCAACTCTTGAAGCGTTACAAATCACCTGGCCCAGATGACTTACCTCCGGCTCTTTTTAAAGATGGTGGTGACTTTTTGACTAAGGAATTGACGACGTTGTTTACAAAGGTTTGGGATCTAGAGAGTGTACCAACGTCATGGAATGAGTCGATAGTTGTCCCTATCTTTAAAAAGGGTTCACGTCGTTCTTGTAACAACTATCGGGGGATAAGTTTACTTCCGATTGCGTCCAAGCTATTGGCTTCCGTCATTCTTCGTAGGTTGTTCAAAACCCGAGAAAGATTGACTCGCGAGGAGCAGGCTGGGTTTCGTTCTGGTCGAGGATGTATTGATCATATCTTCACCCTCCGCCAAATGTTAGAACACCGCCATACTTTTCAAAGGCCAACAATCGTTGTGTTTCTTGACATCAGGGCTGCCTTCGATTCGTTGGATAGGACTGTTCTCTGGGATTGTCTATTGAAGAAGGGTGTGCCTGAGAAGTTTATTAACATCCTAAAAGCCCTGTATAAAAACACCTCAGGCAGAGTGAGGGCATACAACCACCTCTCTCCATTGTTCCATTCGAGCAGTGGGGTTAGGCAGGGTTGCCCAATCTCACCATTCCTCTTCAACTTTGCCATCGATGACATTCTGGAAACAGCTCTGATGAATGTAAGTAATGGTGGTGTGGATCTGTTGCCTGGAGAAAGACTTCTCGACCTTGAGTATGCGGACGATATTGTCTTACTGTGCGATAATGCCCAAGGCATGCAATCCGCACTTAATCAGTTGGCAATCAATGTCCGTAGGTATGGTATGTGCTTTGCACCTTCGAAGTGCAAAGTACTTCTACAAGACTGGCAGGATCCCAATCCTGTACTCACCCTGGATGGTGAGCAGATAGACGTAGTTGAGAAGTTCGTGTATCTGGGTAGCTGCATAAGTGCTGGTGGGGGTGTGAGTGATGAGATCAATGCACGAATAGTGAAAGCCAGAGCGGCTTATGCCAATCTGGGCCACCTTTGGCGCCTTCGTGATGTCAGTCTGGCTGTAAAAGGCCGGATCTACAACGCGTCGGTGAGAGCAGTTTTGCTCTATGCTTGTGAAACCTGGCCTCTCCGAGTTGAGGACGTTAGACGACTCTCTGTGTTTGATCATCGCTGTCTCCGAAGGATTGCTGACATTCAGTGGCAACACCATGTTAGTAATGCAGAGGTTCGGCATCGTGTGTTCGGGCACAGAGATGATAACTCAATTGGTGTCACCATCTTGAAACACCGACTTCGGTGGCTTGGACATGTTCTCCGAATGTCGTCCCAGAGAATTCCACGTCGTGCATTATTTGCCGACTCTGGGACTGGTTGGAAGAAGCGGAGAGGTGGTCAGTGCATGACATGGTGTCGTGGCATGAAAGAAAGCTGCAAAGGACTGGCTTGTGTTGGTCCTTCACGACTCCCTGGCTGGGGTCCGAGAGATGGTGCAACACAGTGGCTAGAGACGTTATCAGATATGGCTCAGAATAGAAGCCAGTGGCGATCCTGCTGTAACCTTCTTTTACTTTCTTCATAAAAAGTG